ATCAGGGGCATCAGCAGTTTTCCCCTTTCCAAGACATTTCCATTACCTGAACAATGAAATTATGCCCATATTTAGAGAAAAAAATGACTGTTGAAAGCTGTATTGTCCCATTAAATAGATCTGACTAACAATTAGTTGGCTTAATGCAGAATCAACTTGAGTTTCTTTTTTCCTAAGCCGATAGAAACTCTACAGGAGTATTAATGAAAGAATACAATGATTATGAAATATTTCACAGGAATGCAGGCTGAGGAATTCAACAGATCCAAATAAGTAATAACTCAGATCGAAAAGGGTTTACAAGTAGAAAAGGTGAATTCTCACACTGCAGGTTTAATCTTCTCTTGGGTCCTTGCGGTATACTGGATTCAAATCTAGCTTAACCACTTAACTAGCTGTGTGACCTTAGGCAAGTCATTTAAACATTTTAACCTCAGTTTCCCATTGTAAACTGGGAAGTTTGTTATGAGGCTTGAGATAACAAACGTACTATACCAGGCACATCACCGTGTGTTTGCCGGGTAATGGTAACTATTATTAACCACAGACCTGATATTTTTATAAAATATACAAGTTAAATTCAATAATCATGTAAATGTTACCTGCCATATACTAAGCTAAACTAGATCTTGCTTTGCAATCGTTTCCCAGAAAAGCGTTTAGACTATCTACGCTATGAGTCACTCGAGCTCTGCGCCTGTTTTCTCAGACTCTCCCTTGCCTGTCGCATCCAATTCTTAGCTGAAGCTGTCACTCCACCTTGGCAATACCTACTTTCCCATCCCCCGCCCTCACCCTGGTTCAGACTTTCATTCCCTCCCTCCTTCACTGGTGCAATGGCTTCCTTAAGCCAATGCCTAAACAGTCCAGAAGCTCAGTTATGATCGTCTAACTTCCCCGCCCCTCCCATGGAGGAGACTTTCAATGGCTTCAGTGAACACCTGCACCAGCTTCCCTCTGCCTATCCAAATCCCTCTCCAGGGCATTCAAGGTCTGGAATGCCTTGGTCAAAGAGGATGCTTCCTCCTTTCACCTGACTGCCTCCCTGCTCAGAGCGAATGCTCGAAAAGGAGATCACTCCACAGGCCTCGCAGACTTTTCTCAAGCTCTTCTCTCCCCCGGAAGGCTCTCTGCCCACCCATATTGACACAGCTGAAATCCTCCAAAGTCCAGTTCCACATCACTTCCCTTATAAAGTCTTCGCAGTGCCCCCACAACAGATGTTCTCTCACCTCCTTGTGACGTCTCTGAAGTCATGTACACCGCTCCTGGGCATCCCGCTTTTGTGTGCTAGTCTGCGTGTACTCATCTCCCTTGGAAGGGCCTACGCTCCTTTCAAGACTATAGATTTCCACCTCGATCTCCCCTGACACAACACAGAATGCAGCCGGTGCTCAGTAAACACTTGCTGAATGAAGGAATTAATGGAATTTCAGATACTTTCATGGTGTAATTACAGACCTGTCCATTCTAAAAGTCAGGCTGTGAAGGCACACGGAAAACCAAGGTGAGGATCCTTGGGTCCTCAGGCCAACCCAGCCATAAGTGGATTCTGGGATCTTGGGCACGTCCTCAGTTTCCTGTCTCTAAAGTGTGCATGTGGGGTTTCTGCCTAGGCTAAGTGATCCTTAGGGGTCCCCTGCTCTAAAATTCAGGCAAATGGACCTGTTTGTCTCATGGTAAGAAATCAGCTTCTCTTAAAACCTAATTTAAGACTAACTTTAAAATGTTTATGAAATAATGATCACATGTATCTCAGTTTTGAAATCATGAGATCTGAAGAAAAATAAGCATTAATATTATAACCACATATTTCTGAAGCTTAATGACTATTTTCTGCTTTTAATCCTCCCACAAATCCACCCTTTGATGGGTGAAAGATCTAACTGTGAGGCTTTGTTACTTTGATAACAAATTTCACTACAGATTTGTAATTTGTTTTAATGACAGGAATAAGACTAGAGTAATTCTGCTGTAATTGAAAACAGTATTAATACAACATCCTATCCAAGAAGAATCCAAAATTTACATTTCAAGACATGTACATGTCTATTATTTCATTATCAAGGTTGTAACATTTACCAAAGGTTAACAAAATTAAGTAGTTGCAGATTCAATTCAATCTAAAATAAAGACACAAAGAACAGGCGGGTGGTACGGGAAAAAAGGGGATTACGATACAGTGAGATCTAATACTGTCCTAAAAATGAGTAAGTGCTGTTCGTGGAAAGGACAGAGAGAGAGAGAGCTGTTTTAAAGTCATTTTCAAAGGAAAACTAAGAGTTGGGCCCTCTACACATTCAAATTACTTTATTTAGGGAAGGGCTAAATACAAAACACTCAGTTCAAAAATCACCAATCTATTAATAATTCAGCCATAAATAGTAGTTTTTGAAATAAATGAGTTTAAAGTCAACCAATAGTTTTTATACTAGTTTTGGAGCTTAAAAAAAAAAAGAAAGAAAAGAAGAAAACCACAAAAACTTTTATTTAGAAAATCTTCAGGCCAGAAAAATACTTATGAAATTCTTAATCATCATTCACTTAGCAGAGGGCAGTGGCTCCCTTGGGCATAGAGGGCACCCTGCTTCTACAAAGTGCATGCCACGGCCAAACATATCCCTCCACACAAAACCAGAATGCCACCAGAAAAACTGCGACATGCCCTGTCTTCACTCAGTCGCTATTATTTGAAAACGCAGCAGTCAGCATTTGTGGGCGATTTTGTAGTCAGTAGCACCACTGCAGGCTGGGACAGGCTCAGGAGGAAAGTCCATTGCCAGGATCCCCAGAAAGAATGACCGCCTCCCAACTCAAGCCCCGAGCCTGACGCCCTGCTGCCGGGCAGAGCAACATTAATGAGGAGAGAAAACATCCTTCCTCAAAGTCAGGTAATTTTTCACTTGGGTCTCTTTCCCCTTCCCAGAGATGGGAGACTTGATAAGTTTTATAAGTAGGCTTTAAGTTGGAAAAACAGAACACAAGAAATGATACTAAACAATGAAAAAACATGGAGCCTGCCCAAAATTAAATGTTTCAGTGAGGAATCCTAATAAAACATGTATCTTGATGCAGTTTATTAACCAATTAATTTATTAAAGTTTTACTTCTCTACAAAAGGTATAAGAAACCAAGGGAGTGAAATATTGGATTAATAATACTGATTATTGTCTATTTAAAAGATAAGAAATCCAGGCTAGCAAAAGCATAGTTACAAATAATAATCAAAATAAATACTTGGTTCATAAAAATGCCAAAAAGAGCTGCTAAAGAATCCTTCACATTCCATTCTGACTTGGATTTAAACTATGTGTAACCTGCACATTTAAAGGATAGATGTGCATCTCAAATCCTGGAGGACTCAGAGAGAAAATTTAAATTTCAGATTTAAATAGCTGGCAAAATTTTAAAACAAATGTAATGAAAACCCAGCTTTTCATTCCTCCTATTGCTTGGCACATTTTCCCTGGAAATCCCCAGACACATTTTGTTCAGGAAACAAAGAACTCCTAAGATTGAGACAATTCTTTGCTAACTCAAAAAAAAAAAAAAAAAAGGAAAATAGATTTTCATGATGCTCCAGAAATAAATGAATCCAAGCAGAAAGCAGGTTGCAACTCGAGTAGTCCCTGCCTTCAAAACGGCTTGCAAAACAAAACTGCCCTGGAGCGCATTCAGGTTGCTCCTCCCAGGCCTAGGGCCACAACGCCTGGTAAGTAACGTCCCGACGCTCAGGCTCTTTCCCAAAAGCCCAACGTGGGAAGAACTAGCAGGGGGCGGGGAGGTGGGGCGGGCTGCAAAACGCGCACCGCTCACGTGGGCATCCAGAGTCCAGTTCCCGAGACCTCGGACAGGGTCTCTGCCCACCCACCCAAACGACGACCTCAGTCTGCTTCCGCGAGGATCCGGAGAAGCCGACCCTCTCAGCGGGGGGTCTTCCCGGGGCACCTGGGCCAGGGCGGGCCCCCAGTGTCGTCCTCCCCCCACACTCCCCTGCCCACACATTCTGGATCAAAGCAGACGCGCGGCTGGCGCTCTGAGATCCAAGGTACACTGGGGTCTTTCATCCGGTGTTTTTAAAAAGGAGGAAACAAAAGGCTCAGAGGCAGGGCCACAGGTGCGCTCGCCCGCTGGGGCTGCGGCGCGGACGACCGAGGGGAACAGGCAAGTCCCCGCCGAACTTCGAGCGCCGGGCCCGGCAGCCACCCCGGCGAGCAAGTTTCGTTTGCGGGACAGGGGAAGCCGAAGCGGGGCCTCCTCGGGACAGGACCCCGCGCCGCCCGGACGTGCAGCCTTCATACAAACGTCCTCGGTCCAGGAACCGCCGCAGTCGTGGTCTCGGGGTTACCGGGGATTGGGGGTGAGCGGGTAAAGACCGCGGAGCCCCGAGCACCACTCGGCCACCAGATAGGGCCGGGGCCCCGCTCCTTTCCTCTTTTACATTGATTACGGTTGGAGAGGTTGGGTTTTGTGGTCGCAGGCCCACCTCGCCTGACCTCTCATTCGCGGGCTGGGACAAAGGCGACTGCAGCCGGGTCCGGCAGGCAGGGGACAGCCCCGCGCTGGCCCGACGCCCCCTCTGACCACCCGCCCGGGCTCGCGGGAGGGGAGAAAGGTAGGACCGAGTCCCCGCTCGCAGGACGGGGCCAACCTGTCCCTGCACGCGTCAGGACACCCGGGTCCTGCTCCCAGCGCGGCCGGGAAGCTCTTTCGGGACCTGGGGCAAAAAACCTTTCCACGTTCGGGACTCGAGTCTCCCCGTCGCCCAGAGGAGGACAGTCCCTCCTCGTCCCGCGGGCCCCGCAGCCCGCGCTCTCCGGGCAGGTACCCACCAGTAGCCGTCCGAGTTCTGGTCGGTGATCACGCCGCGCCGCGAGTAGTAGATCCTGCTGGTGCCCCCGCCGCCGCTGGTCATCTCGTAGCGCAGGTCCGGGCCAGATTCGGCGCGGGTCATGCGGCCCAGAGTGTTGATCCGCGGGTGGGAGCCTCCGTTGCAGCTCATGTCGGCGGGCAATCGGGAGAGCTGCTCAGCGCCGAGGCATAAGCGAGGCAGGTCGGCGCGGAGAAGGCGGAGGGGGCCAAGGACAGGCGGACGGCCGGGGAACCGGGCGGGAGTGCGGGCGGCTCGCGAGGTCGCTGCTCGCTACCTGGGCCCGCCCGAGGCCGCTGCGAGCGTGGAGACGGCGACGGGCCGGGGGCAGGAGCGGGAGGAAGAGCTGTGGCTCGAAGGGCTGCAAAGGCGCAGAGGAGCTGCGTCGGGGCTGGGTGTTGGTGTTGGTCGGCGGCGGCGCAAGTCTCCTCCCCGCTGGCACCGGGCGCCGAGGCCACACCTGGCCGGTTTCTTCCCAGGGCGGGGTGCGGCCGCCGCGCCTTCCCCGCCCCGCCGCGGGTGTCACCGACGCGCTCCGACCGCCCCTCCCCACCTGCGCCCGCCGCCCGCCGCCCGCGGCTCCGCCCTGCGCCACCGAGGCCTGAGTAACGCCGGGCGGGGCAGGGTCCCCGCGACCCGAGCGCCCTGGGCGCGGCCACCGCGGGGAGGACTTGCGCTTGCGGGGGCCGCTGCGCTCTGCGCTGGGGCCGCTCGGGCGGGGAATGCTTGGCCCGGCTTTTGAGGATTTCCTTGGTCCCCGGGCGCAGATAGCTGGAATGGAGGGGCCTCTCGATTGGAGAGTTACTGGTCAAATATTTACTTTTGTTCATCACTGGAAACGCTACCTACCACGCATTGACTAGAACCACAGTGAGGAGGGAACGTTTTAGATGATAGAGTTTTGTTTGGGGGCTTGTTCTGTTTTGTTTTATTCCAGGAATTCAGGAGATTGCCTCAGAAGTCCGATTTCTGATGTGTAAAACCTTTTTTTACAGAAAACCACGACTTCCTGGAAAAGTCTTCACCGTAAATATTAATCTCTTTGGCATAAAGAGGAAAACACTACAGCTATTTTTTCATGGGATAACATAAAAATATAAGTTCCAATTTATTTTATCTTTTCCCTTTTGATGCTCTTTTTAAACGAGGAGTGAAGATTTCAACTCCAGCTCCAGTTTCCAAATTTTGTACCAGAACCTTGCGGATGCTTGTCTCTCGCGCCCTTCTCCGCAGACCCAACCCTCTCCGGAACTCAGAGCTGTTCACCCAAGTCAGCGGCGGAGGCCTCCTGGGACTTGAGCCTGAGGGTGGCAAAGAACCCTAGACAGAGATCAGCTTGGTACCGATGAGTGACGCGGAGCTTGAACATTCCAGCGACCTGCTCCAGAGCCACTCCCAGTTAAGAGGCTGAGTGTTAACTACACCGTAGGCTCCACGAACCGAACTGGGTTTGGATACAGACCCAGTCACACCATCCATGAAAAGCTGTTTCTATAATATGGAAAACTGTTAAATGACGCTTTAGTAAAAGCCATTTAAAGATCTTTCTAATAAATTTTTCATCTTTCCAAACAATGCCGCTAATTACCTTCTGATACAATGCGTTTCCAAAATGTTTATGAACTGAAAACAAAAATAAAAAGCTACATTTTCATGTTGTAAAGAGAGTGGGGGGGACTTTTAAAAATGTGCCATATTATAGCATTTCTCATGACACCTTGACCCTTTAAGGCATAATTTTTGACAAAGTGTCTTGCTCTTTTTCTTTTTACAGCTGAACGTCTTAAATTCAAGGAGTAAACACATATGATGAGATGAAAGTTTATCACTGTTAGCACAACCAATAATTTGCATCGTAGTCTCAATTTCCTCGAACCTTTAATAAAAGCAAAGTGGGCAAGTGTTTAAATGATTATGCAGATTGAGTACCCCATATCCAAAATGCTTGGGACCAGAAATATTTTGGATTCTGGATTTTCTTGGATTTTTGGAATATTTGCATAGACCTAATGAAAGATCTTTGGGGATGGAACTCAAGCCTAAAAAGGAACGTTATTAATGTTTTCTATATACCTTATACACATAAGGGAATTTTATACAATATTTTAGATCATTTTGTGCATGAAACAAAGTTTTGTCTGCATTTTGACTACAAGGCATCCCATGAGGTCAGGTGTGGAATTCGCCACTTGTGGTCATCTTGTCAGTGCTCAGAAAGTTGATTTGGGAGCATTTTGGATTTCAGATTTTCAGATTAGGGATGCTAAACCTGTACAAACACTGATGTATAGACAAGACAGTGGTTTTTCTCAAACAGAATCAATGGCTGGAAGTCAGCCTCTGCACAAACAGCCCATAATATCCATTGGTGGAGGAGAGAAGTATGTGCATGGAGGGAAGTGCATAAGGTACAAAATTTCATTTAGGATGCTTTCCCTCTGTGCATCTCATTTGTTCAGCAAATAATTATAACCTAGGATATGGAAATACTCTACAACATACAAAGATAAATAGGGTCCAGTCACTGCCCTTAACCATGTTATATAGTAAAACTTTGATTTAAGAAATTCAGGGGCCCGTGTGGTGGCTCACACCTGTAATCCCAGCACTTTGGGAGGCCAAGGCGGGCGGATCACCTGAGGTCAGGAGTTCGAGACCAGCCTGGCCAACATGATGAAACCCCATCTCTACTAAAAATACAAAAATTAGGTGGATGTGGTGGCAGGCGCCTGTAATCTTAGCTACTTGGGAGGCTGAGACACGAGTATCGCTTGAATCCGGGAGGTGGAGATTGTATTGAGCAGAGATCGTGTCATTGTACTCCAGCCCGGGTGACAAATCAAGACTCCGTCTCAAAAAAAACAAAAAACAAAAAAACAACAAATCCGGGATTATTCTTTTCTAATGTGTAATAAAAAGGCCACACAATTGCAGGGTAGAATTATCCTTTTAAAAAAAATCTATAAACCACCCCCCAGTGGTAACAAAAGCTCTTCTTAGCCAAGGGGCCCCTTTGGGTCATAGGAACCAGGATCCACACAGACCCAAACACTACCCAGACTCATAAAACTGTTCAATTTGCAGGCAAAACAGAGGAGGAGGTGAAGAGCCCACATCAATCACACCTCTGGCTGCGTTGCTTTCTCGCCCATCTTACTGCTTCCCGGGCCTCTCCAGGCATCCCGAAGAACACGAATGGCTTCCAGCTACCAAACTTGCCTGCTCTCATTTATCTTCCTCTAAGGGTGATAAACAAAGATAAGAGGATAAAATAAATAGACTGACATGCCCAACAGATGGAAACCCCCCACCTCAACACACACACATGCACATGCACGACACACATCAGTTATGTAGGCTGGCTCATCACACAATGAAGAGCTAGGGTAACTTGCCCATAGTTATCATCTTAGTGCTACAATTTACTCGGACAAGAGCTCAATTTCTTCATGCGTTATAATGGAAATAACACTTGTTCTGCCAACCTTCCAAATCCACAGTGAGGTCAAATGAGATAAAATACGTGCACATTCTTGAACACTGTGAAACATATAAAGCTCCATAAGGTACCACCTGTTAAGCCAAAAGTTCTTTGCTGGATGTGAAATTTTAAGTGTTAATGTTCCTGTCTTTATCCGACGTGTAAATCAGTAAACCTCCCTCTTGGAGACATTTAACATGCATTCATTGAAAAAGCAGCTATTGAACATCTACGACGTTACACGACAGATTCAATCTAGACACGTGAAGTTGAATAAAGCATGACTCTTTTTCTGCAGGATATCAAAGTCTGCAGTAGTAAAACAAATAACTACAACACAACATTAAGTATGCTGTAATGAAGGTATATTTATAGACTTTTGGAAGCACAGCAAAGAGGTTTAAAAGTACCTTGTTTTCCTACAACTTGGTTTAAAAAATCAGAATTCAAAGTCTGGCAGAGTCTTCCCTGGCTGACCTCAGGTCAGCTATTTTTTGCCTGCCACTCATAGATAGCTCCCCTTGTGCTGATAGAAACAGATCACTGACAGGCAACTTTCTCTCCGGCTGACCTTAGAAATGACCTTGCAGTTAGGAAAGAGGAATCAGTCATATTCAGAGCAGAGTTTTAAAAGAAAACAGACACTTTGATTTCAGTGAGATTAAGAAGAATCGTTTACTTGCTCAAAATCCCATGGGAACTCTCTATACCTTTGTGTTAGTAAGTGATATCTCTTTGTCACAAGAAGATTTATAGCCCAGGAGTTAAAATAATTGTTCTGCCTTACAGAAGAGTAGTTTTGGGGTTTTTATTTTGTTTTGTTTTGTTTGAGACAGTCTCACTCTGTCACCCAGGCTGGAGTGCAGTGACACGATCTTGGCTCGCTACAACCTCTGCCTTCTGAGCTCAAGTGATCTTCCTGCCTCAGCCTCCCCAGTAGCTGAGATTATAGGCACACACCACCACACTGGACTAATTTTTGTATTTTTTGTAGATACAGGGTTTCACCATGTTACCCAAGCTAGTCTGGAACTCCTGGGCCGAGCAATTCACCAACCTTGGCCTCCCAAAGTGCTGGGATTACAGGCATGAGCCACAGTGTCCAGCCAAGGAGTAGTATTTTAATAAAAACTAGATAATTAATAAATCAAAATGACAGGTAGCAGCTAGGATTGGAACCATAATGTGAAGGAAAAGAAAATGCCTATTAAAATGGCAGACAATTAAAATCTTAATAATAAAATGTATATGTATATTTTACTCCTTTTCTCTTCCATTTGTCTGAATAAATTAGAATCCTCCAGAAATAATGAATCTAGGATCTGAATTATCACAAAAATAAGATTGATCTCTCCTAATTAAAATTGTTGAAATGATTTAAAGCTGTCATTGAAGAAAGCTGTTTGACAAAGCCCATTTCAAAAATACGAAAATGTTTGTAAAATATATACACCAACCCCAAACTATCTTTGGTTTACTTGGTTTAAGTGTCCTTCAGGAACGGGGGAGTTTTTCTGTTTGCAGTGATTTTTCATTTTTGCTGGGGGAGGGTACTTAACTTTGTGGAAATTTAAATAGAGCAGGAGCTGGGGGAAATCATCTTTAGTTTCAACTGACTCTTATCTAGGGTCCAAAAAAGTTTGGGGATTTTTTGGTTTGTTTTGTTTTTGTTAGTTTTTTTTTTTTGTCAGAAGCTTGGTAAGATCACAGATCACAGGGAAGAAACCCTATTCAAACTCCTCATCTTATCCTACACCCGGCCAAGAAAAGTCAGGCCATGAGAAAGAACCTGCATTACTTGCCAAGGCCCAAGTCTGTAAAGGGAAATCCCAGATTGGAGCTGAGAGCTCACTCAGCAAATCAATCAATAGGCTTGTTTAGAAGGATGTACCCAGAGTTAGGATTTTTTTTTTCCTCCTGCTTGTAAAAGTGTATGTATTTGCTGTAAAATACTCAGAAAAGGCAGAAGGGAATGGAGAGAAGCAACGAAAATTACCAACCAGACAAGGTGATCATGCTAGATATTTTTGGAAGGTTCCTTCCAGTTTTTTCCCCTAATGAACTTTTTACCAAACCAACAAATGTCAGGTTATATACAAGTATACAGGTTTCTATTCAGCTCTTTTTTTTTTTTTTTTTTTTTTTTTTGAGACAGAGTATCGCTCTGTCACCCAGGCTGGAGTGCAGTGGTGTGGTCTCGGCTCACTGCAACCTCTGCCTCCCAGGTTCAAGCGATTCTTCTGCCTCAGCCTCCCTAGCGGCTGGGACTATAGGCTCCCACCACCACTCCCGGCTAATTTTTGTATTTTTACTAGAGACGGGGTTTCACTATGTTGGCCAGGCTGCTCTCAAACTCCTGACCTCAGGTGATCTACCTGCCTCAGCCTCCCAAAGTGCTGGGATTACAGGTGTGAGCCATCACGCCCGGCCTCACCTTCTTAATTGAACATAATATCATGAGCATTTTCCAACCTTGTGTAAATTGTTAGCATTGCTCTTAAAGGTGCATAATATTTTCTGGTGGTGTTTGATTTTTTAAAAAGGC